ATAGAGTAGGGAAAGTCTTAGTCTTTTCCCATGTGAAACTGGGCTTTGGGGCATATTACAATTTTATTCTAGTCTGTCTAAACTGTGTAATCTGTAAAACCAGGGGCAGTGAAAAAAGATTCCATAGCAGAGAATGTTAGTGATGAATACTTCCTGTTTCTTGGGCATAGTCTAAGCAAAGGTAGTAAATATATTTGTTCTTTTCTCTTTTTGTTTCAGAATTGGGGATCAAGCTCAGGGCCTTGCAATTCCAGTACCAACTCTTCCACCGAGCTAAATCCCCAGCACCAATATAGATGTTTTTAAGAGTTGGTGACAGGTGCTCTGTAGAGTCCAGGTCTCTTATTCTCCAATCAAAGAAACACACGAATTTGTGAAGTACGTTCACTGTGCCCTGGCTATCACTGCAGTTCTGCATCTCAGGCTACTGTTGTATTAATCACCTGGGAATTGTGAGACAGCACTCACACGCTCACATTGTATAAAGAAGTCTTACAGATATGCAGAACATCATAACAGAGGCCTGGCATTTTTGGAGAGTTCTAAGACACAGAAATCCTGCCCTCTATGGATGGAACCTCACTTGCAAACCATCACTGAGGCTCCCCAGAGAGTGACTCTCCTTGGATTTTGTACCTCAGGGGTGGCCTGACATGCTGGGCTACCTTGTTGAAAAACATCCTATTTCCAGGGTGACTTGAATAGAACTCATGACAGTTCTAGCCAGCTCTCCCTTATTGTAGGATACTGTGTGCTCAACACTCCTTACAGAAACAAAGTAACAACAACAAAGCACCTGTGCATTTCCAGTCTGAGAGGAGGCATCACCACTGCTATTTTTAGCCACTCTGTGGCCTGGTGAACTGTAGGTGATGAGGAAACTTTTCTTCTCAGCACAGAGAGGGAGAAGAGCCGGTTCTCGAGAGGATGCTGGCATGGTGAACACAGGAAGGCAAAGCCTCCACTTACCCAGTGGGGCCACTTTGACATGAAGAGATGAGACCAAGGGATGTAGGTGGGCAGGGCCCTTCGACCCCTTCTGAATTCATGTGCATTGCTTTATCTTATGCTGAGCAATGATTGGGGCTAGTAGTGTGTAATACATAGAGTCAGGGGCACAAAGACATTCCTCTCAAGTTTAATGCATTGGACAGGAAGATCAAATAGAAATAATTGTGTTGGACACATTTGTTACATGAGGACATGACAAGCACGGAGTTGTCGGGTTCTTTAGGAGTCTGAGATTTTCACAGTGATCTTTTCTACCAAGGCTTTTTCATGGGGGTTTGTTTCATAGAACTTTAGGAAAAGGAAAAGCAGGAGTTTATGTAATAATTTAGTGAAACGGAAGATGATACATACCACTGTCCCGACCTCTGCTTCTCTCTCATGGCTCACACTGCCTTGAAACCTTTGAAAGCCGCATTTGTTTGCCCTGGAAATCTATGAAAAAAAAGATAGTGAAAAATCCCACCTCCTGAGGGTCCACAGCCTGATCTCTAATCACATGCCAACACTGGGTATTAGAGAGGACTTGGCTACATTCCTACATGGGGGTGGGTCCTGGGCTCATTTTGTTTCTGTGTTAATTTCCTTTTGTCCTCTCTCCCCATCTGTACCTTGCCACAGTCCTAGGGTCTGTGCTGCAACCAACTTTCCACCCTCTGTGTGGCTGAAGTCCAGGTCATGAGTCCTAAACAATGTACACAGCTGTCCGAAAGCGCCGGCCTTCCCATTGCTGCTGTCCTTCAGAGAAGATGGTGTTTGCCGAGTGGCTCGTGAGAGATGTGGCTGCTTCATTCCATGTGCAGATGCATTTTAATTTGATAAAATCCCATTTGTGGAAGAAGTTTTCTTTTTTGCAGTGTATCTTTTTGGCAGCTCTGTTAAAAAAAATCAGCTGTGGCTGTATGAGTTATTTTTGCCTCTTCTATTCTGCTCATCTGTGATTCCATATGGGGGACTCGGTATTATACGGCCTTTTCCGCTATGATTTTGTAGTATATTTTCAGTTTGGGTGTTGTACTTCCTCTAGCTTTGCTCTTACTACTCAGGTTTGCTTTGGTTATTTCCTCTCCTGGGGACATGAGACCTGTGAACAGTATGCTTGCTACCCAAACCAGCTATTGCTCAAATCAGGTACATTGAAAACCATAGAACCAGAGGGTGTCTAGCTCCTGGACACTCTCTCTTCTTATAACCCTCATCTCTTCAGGTGAAAGAAGCTCAATTGCAGCAGTAGATGCTTTGCTTTGCTTCTGTTCCCCATCCCAGCAGAATGTAGGAGGAAGCATGTGGTTTAGAAAAGAAAATGTGGAAGAGAGCCTGGAGTTTTACAGACTGGTTATAGACTGATAAAATGGGGCCAAAGCAGGAGTTAAGTAAAAACTGAAGAGAAAATCCTGGTCTGGGGGTATTTAAGTAGATATACTTAAAAGCAACAGTGAGGTGAAATCTTAAAAGGATTCCTTTTCTGCCAGAATAACTACACTGAGTGGCGACATGGGAAATGAAGGTAGTTAAGAGAGGGAAATGCTCAGAGGTCATCTTGTATTCTCTATGCAGGGGTCTCTGGAAAAGTCAAGTCAGCAACAGTATGTCTTACAGACCACCTTGGTGAGACACCATTAAGGATCAGATGAGAGGAAGCCGAGCAGAATGATGGATGCTGAAACACACAGACCCGGAGTGGACCTACCTTGCCTGAATCTCATCTCTCCAACTTCCTTCTGCCCAAAATGGGGCAAATTATTCCACCTGTTATAAACCTTATTTGAGCATCTGTGACATGAGAATCACAATGTCATTGTAATAATAAAATGATGTTTGATGCGGAATAAGCACAGGGATACTATTCACTGTGGTCATAATTGAAGGATAGGGGTGTGATATGCCAGGCATATACTGGAAGCCAGGAGAATTTCTCAAGAAATACCCAGAGAAATAGACAGATCAGAATGAACATTATCAGAAACTGTGTAGTTATCAATAACCTGTAAGCAGGAAATCAACCTACTCATCTGAGTCTAGAGTATGTGCTGTGTTAATCAATTGTAGCTAACTGCTACAATCTAACTGTATCTCGGCCTATCAGGTGTTTCCTTACAGTCTGATGTCAGATAAGTAGGGGAAAAATAACAGAGGAAGACAGATCAAGCTTAATGAAAAAAACACAAAGACAGACAACCATCTCTTTCTCCCAAATGATTTCCTACTCTTGTCCAAGAATCACTTCCTCTCCCCCTCCAACCAAACCACGATTCCAGGGCACACTGGAATGTACAGACACTAGAGCAAAAGTCTGTCTTCCTCTAAAATGGTAGCTGTGTGGACACTCCACAGAATGGAAACAGCACAGCAGCATGTTTAATGATATCACAGAAAAATCACTCATAATTCAAGAGCCGCAAACTGACTTCCTCAGACACTGCTAGCTGCCGGGAAGCCTGGAGAAGTAGGTCCTTGTTTAAAACATTGATGAAACAATTCAGTTATGGAAAAATTAAGGTTCTGATACAAGTACAGGTGGAATATTAATTCCATGGTCTATACCTGCCAGGAAAATGCCTACAGGAAAGCAGATATGGTTTGCCCTCTGGAGACCTCTAGCTTGTTCCTGAGCAAACCTTTTAGAGCCACCTGCAACAAATCCCATACTTCATAAAAAACTTTTCATGCCTTCATGCTGTCTTGAGGCAGATGGCCATTTTCCATATTTTTCTGGGAAAGAATTGGGTCTCCCCCATTGTGTGTGGAAATAATTCCCTTCTGCATACCCCAGAAATAAAAGTTTAGAAAAAAGATCAAATAAGTTCAACCCAAAGCAAAGGCAGCATACTACTCTTAACTGTGTGAAAACCCTTGAAAAGTTTCAGTGGCAGTACAAGTATGCGTATTCTCTCTTAGGTATCTGGCCCCAGATGCTGCATGTGTACAGGGTGCAGAGGTGAGAGCACTAAGCGGTGGATCTCTTGTGTGGAGCTGCCGATAAGCCATGCTGGGCTCTGGGTGGTCCCACAAGTTTCTCTATTGGCATCTGCATATTGGCATCTTCCCCAGTCCATTCTAGATCCTACTTTCCTCATTCTCCAGCCCTATTGCCATCTCCAGGCCCATTATGAGGTTGGAACTTGGGCTTGTATCACTTTGTCCCACTTCTTCAGAATGGTTACTCTCTATAGTGAATTCCACCATGACTCTGCTCTCTCTTGATCCTCACTCGGAGTGACGGGGAAGATCCGTCCTATATAGCTCCTAACATGGAGGACAGTTTTCAGCATCTTTAATGCAGGTTGTTATGGCAACCACGAAGCTGCTTGTAAAGGACAGGTGACACACTGAACAATGAGAGCGCAAATCTTGGAACATTGAGGAAGAGAAGGAATGTGGCAGAGGCCTTCTGCCTCACTACCTTATTTACTTAGCTTCTGCTTAACCTTCAAATCCCTTTATGAGCAATGTCGCCCAGGAGCTTTTGTGAGCAGGAGAGGGACAGACATTCCCAACTCCTGAGAAATTCTTCATCACCAGCTTCATCGTGTCTTGATGCTGTCACTGTGGATTTCACACCTTTGGCTATGAGCTTCCTCCTCCATGGGACACATTTTTGGGAAGAGTCTTCATTCTCAGATATAAGCCAAGGTAACAAGCCAAGCTTGTTAACAGTCTCAGTCCAGTGTCAAAGTACGTTACATCAATTGTACAAAGAGGATTCCTTTGTGTCCCTGGCATTTCTTTCCTCCCAACTCTCATGTCTTATGCCACACGTAGCTCATCCCTGTGGGCGTATGTTGGCTTTCTCTGTTCTCCCATCCCAGTCATCTTCCAGAAATTAGCTGCTCCTGTTCTCTGACCTTAGAAGTTTTCTTACCACCCATATGTCACACAGAGTGGCCATGATTTTCAAAAAGGGCATGGGAGAAGATGCAGGTGTGTTTGTGGAGGGAACAATGTGACCCTCATCCCACATGCCCTTCCCTCTCCCAGGAGATATAAAAAACCCCAGCTCTCCACAATGCCTACTTACACTTCTGCCATCATGAGGACTCTCTTGATCTTGGCTGTTGTTGGCATAGCTGGTGAGTTCTTACTTTGCTTTTCCTCCATAATATAGGAAGACCAAAGCCATCACTACTGCGTCTTCCTGAACTCCTTTTTGCTAGCCAGAATCTCTGCTTCTTGCCTTCCTGATTTCTCCATAAGCCACCACTGTCTTGTATTCTCCTTGCTTCTTCTCAAATTTTTACTCTTTATCCAAATAAGAATTATTTTCAGGGGAACTAGAAAGGAGCCATCTGATCAGCTCATAAATGTTTTATACCGCTTCTCTCCAGAGGCTATGGGATAGAACCAAAATAAATATTTAATCTTAAGTAGAACGAGGGAAACTAGGGAACTAGGCTAAAAAAGTATTCCTGCCATAGACCAGCCCTAGAGTCTCTCTTCATATATCTAGAGCTCAGCATGTACATTGCGTCTCAACCAACCCAGTGATATTAAGATTCCCAGGTGTGCAGTCTTCTTTAAGAATGACTGTTCTATTGGCCATTATCAGTACTTTACCTTGTCCAGCCTAAGAGATTGTAAGTGATGCTTTCAAATTTGCCCTCCCTGCACACATCTCAGAAGAGCCAGATATTTCCAGAAACACTCAGCCTGGACATTTTCCTAGTTATGGCAAACCATCCTGAAAGCTGAGAACTAAAAAAGACAAGAGTAATAGATTTGGGATGAATGAGTATTCTATCTAATGGCTGAGGAAGAGCTCAGTGACTGAGACTAGCAATTTCTGATCTTATCTTATTGCCTGCATTCAGGGGCCTCTCCTTTTATCGACATCCTGTGACTTTAGAAGTTATTGAAGTTCTGTGGTGTTAATAGTTGTCCCAGGCTCTTTGGGAATAAAATCTAAAATGCCCTTAGATTGACTCTAGGCCCCGTACTCAATAGAAATACTAATTAGGACTCAGCCACTGGCCTGAGGGATATATATTCCATAATCCTGCTGAGCTGACTTCTCCCTTCTTATCTCCACTGAAGCTGCTTTTCCTCCCGATGACGATGACAAGATCGTCGGGGGCTACACCTGTGCCCCCAACTCCGTGCCCTACCAGGTGTCTCTGAACTCTGGCTACCACTTCTGCGGTGGCTCCCTCATCAATAACCAGTGGGTGGTGTCCGCAGCCCACTGCTACAAGTCGTAAGTACCAGACAACTCATGGCTGAACCCACAGTCTGGTTTCTGCAAGGGTGTGGGTCCTTCCAGGTAAAGGCTGCAGGTTGAGCGTGAGAAGTGATAGAAAGGACACAAAGGTAAGGGCAACAACCGATTAGTGCAGCTGGGGGTGAGAAGAGACACAGACTAGGAAGCTTCCCGCACCCCAAACCAACACACAAGGGATGCTGGTCACAAATACAGCAAAGCTATGTGCTATGAGAAGAACCAGGCGGGGACTCTGGCAAGGAAAATATGCCAGTATAATGAAGAACCTGAGTTTTCTATTCAGGAACAACTCCAAGTTATGAAGGTGAAGGCGAAACATTTGTGATTTTTAAAGCCTTTCTGATTCTGCGCTTGCCACTGTGCAACATGGGGCTGAGAATCATTGTCTCCAACAAGAGTTCTCAGTACTATAATTCTCAACCAGGAGGTGTGTGTACACACAGGTCTCTGGGCAGTTTGCCTTCTGCTGTATTTCATTCCCTTTGAGGTAGTGACCGAGAACTAAATTTCTAACAAGGACCCACAGGTTGCTGCAGCTGGTCTCAGAGTCACACTTTGAGACCTAATGAATACAACCCACAGAAATTGGTTTGTTGTTTTCCTTTACCATAGTTACTTAGCAAAGTCTCAGACACAGGGGAATCATGGTTCACTGTTTGCTGTATACATCCTTAGATGGAGGGGAAAGCTTCTAGAACAGTAGTTTCTTATCAATCTCCAACTGTAGCCCTAGACTTCATCCCTTTCCCCAACCTCTGAAGCAGAACACACCTGTCACTCACACCAGCACACCAGCTCTTACCCACGATGATGGACTGCTCTTACGATGTGTTTTTGTATCCCTTCCATGCCAAACAACCAGGGGTGTCTGAGCAATGGAGAATAGGCTCCACCTTGCTTCCTTTTCCCCACAGCCGCATCCAGGTGAGACTGGGAGAACATAACATCAACGTCCAAGAGGGAAGTGAGCAGTTTATCTCCTCCAGCAAGGCCATCCGCCACCCTAGATACAACTCCTGGACTCTGGACAATGACATCATGCTGATCAAGCTGTCCTCCCCAGTGTCCCTCAACTCCCAAGTGGCCCCTGTGGCTCTGCCCACCTCCTGTGCACCTGCTGGCACCCAGTGCCTCATCTCTGGCTGGGGCAACACCCTGAGCT